TATTTCTATTACTGTATGTCCCATGTTGCTTTTTCCTTAACAATTAATGACCCTGTTTATGTCAATTTCTAAGTGTGTGTATAGGCCTCATGCATGTAGTAATTCATTGTCTTCAGTAGAGCCAGAGTAAATATGGATGTCAAGATCAGGAACACTGTTACACTGTACAGTTATAACAGTATGATTCCACTTTACATACACATAACTAATATATGAAAGGGGTCTTTTCACACTACTGAATTGTAGCACTATGATCCTATTTTAATTGCCCTGGTAACATTCTATGGAATCTTTGGATTTGCAGTCTGCTGAGGCACTAAAATTGTCTGGCTGAGATTTCTAAATATTCCTTCTATAAACCTCTGGTCAGCCATACATAATAGAAGTAGTGAAAAGTGTCATAGCTTTTTTATTGCTGAGGGAGGGGAAGCACTGCAAAAAATTAACATGCAATTGGACATGCAATTGGAAACAAAAAGGCCACAGCTTTATTGAGTACAGCTGACAGGTAGGGTTGGCCCAAATGCATGAGGTCTGGACCCACTTGTTGATCAATGAACCAAGTCGCCAGGTCATGGCCAGGCCTCAGGATGACAAAAGGGGTAACCAACTGATCATATGTTTGCATCTCCACTCCTTGTCATTGGGGGACACTGAACAGGAGTTGCCCCCGCAATGGCAATACCTCAACACTCCGAGCACCCCCGGGGCCCCAAGGAACTCCTGAGCCAGTGCTCCACAGCACAGGAAGCCATGCCCACTAGATCCATGACCTATGCTACAGTGACAAAAGGCTACCCCCCCCCCAGCAGGGTCCTGCCTTCCACCAACCACCTAGAAGCTACCTTGCCCTCCAGCAAAGGAACCCAACCTAACAGTTCTCATGGCTGCCTGGAGCAAGGGTCCAAACCTGGATGACCATAACTAGTGAATGCCCCAGATTTTCACCTGCCCATTCTTTTTATGGAGTCCACAGGCAGACCACATCCTGCCATGGTTGTAGCCACCCCTATGCAGCATTACTGTCCTCCAAAGTCCTCCACTGGTAGCCTGGCTTGTTGCAAGGCCTGATAAAGTACTGACACCAGTTGGAACCACGTAAGTGGAGTCCCATCCCCATGGATGAACAGGGGGCCTTCAGATAGTGGTCAGGATGCCAGATACTTGCATAAAGTTCAAACAGGGAACAGCTGGCAGCCATGGAACCTATAAAGTTTGATGGTGGACCCTTTTCCCAATTGGTCACACTTAGACCTGTGGAAAACTAAGAACACAGCATTTCCCACAAATGAGACATCCTCCCTCTGAAAAGACCACTTTATTTCATCCGCCTTGGAAGAGGGAACAAGCTTACCCACCCACAGTGCACCAAAGAAGGCAGTTACAAAGACAGCTCAGAACAAGGGAGCCTCGGGTCTGGAATGACACACCCCTTTAAAATGCAGAGATAGCCTGGACAGGAGTTTGAAGCAAATGGTTCTCCTTCCATCCACCCATCTGAGGGATGTCCTCCACCGATCCTCAGTGACCCTTCTAACAATACAGGATATACAAGGGTCCCAGTAGGATCCTTTCTTAGAAAAGAGAAATACCAGCCAAATAAACCAACATAGTGCATGGTGCAATACCATTCTCCTGTAACCAAACTAGGAACTGCAGGATGGTAAGGGCATGAGCCAGCCAATGTATCTGGAGACCTACTGTCCCACAGAAGGCAAAAAGCTTGGAAACCACTCTCCTGTAGGCTCTAAGAGTAGCTGGGTCCAAAGAGGCCAGGACATCCAGCATCACAGCATGCTTCCAATCTCCCAAAGATCCTCTGGGAAAGGCATGAGCAAGGGGTCTGCTCTGGGTGCCAATTGATGGAACCTGGCCTCCTGAAAATGTGAGAAAGAGTCTGCAATGTTATTATCAAGGCCAGGTACAAAATGGGCTTTGAAAGTGATGTTGTTGCTGAGGCACAGCAAAACAAAACAACGCACCAGAAGCATGACCCTCTCTGACTCAGAGGACTGGTGGTTAAGGATCCTAACCACAGCCTGATTGTTGCACAAAAAACAAACTACCTTGTTGGCAAATGATTCCCCCCCCCCAGATGTGAACCACCACCAAGATAAGGAAGAATTCTAGGAATGTGAGGTCCCAGAGGATTCCTCCTTGTGCCCAATAGTTGGGCCAGTGTTGAGCGCACCAGTGGACCTGAAAAAATACCCGAAAGCCCAGGCTACCTGCTGCATCCGAGTGCACCTGGAGGCTCTGTCCAGGTTTAAAGGGCCATAAAGAAACCCATTAAACTCCCAGAGGAACTCTGCCCACAACTTGAGATCCTGCTTGATGTGCTTGGTGAGGTGGATGCAATGGTGCACTACCCTGACCACTGCCATGATCCTAGCTACCTGAGTACAGAATGCCCTCCCAGGAGATACCACCCTGAAAGCAAAATTCAAGTGACCTAGAGGGTCTGAATTTTTTGAGGGTGACTTTTTGAGCTAGGAGGGTGGCCTGAATCAAAGCCAAGAGGGTGTGGAGGTTGCCAATTGGCAGGCGAGAGACACCTGCCACTGAATCCAGCTGGATTCCCAGATAAGTGAGGAAAATGGTGGGCTCCTTGGTCTTGTCCACTGCAAGGGAAACCCTGGGGTCTGCAGCCAGAGCTTGGAAAGTAGCCAAAGGTTTGGCACATTGCTCACCCCCTGCATCCCCAATGAACAGGAAATCATCCAGGTAATGGGTGACCAGGGGAGATTTGGCTCAGCCTTTCACTTCCCACTCAAGGAAGGAATGAAAGGTTTCAAAGGTTGCACAGCTAATGGAACAACCCATGGGCATGGCCCTTCAAATTTGAAACCAAGGAGGCAAATATCATCAGGATGGACAGGAAGCAGTCAGAATGCTGACTGGGTGTCCCACTTGGCCAAAAGGGCTCCTGGCCCACACACCCTAATGAGCCACACAGCATAGTCAAAAGAGGTATAGCACATTGAACAGAGTTCAGGTGGGATGGCATCATTAACCTATGCCCCATGGGGATATGACAGATGGTTGATAAGGCGATATTCACCCAGTGATTTCTTGGGAACCACACCAAGGGGAGGGCATGGGTGAAGCTAGGAAGGGGCCTGCCACCTGGCCTGCCTTGCACTCCTTCTTGCTCTTGTACTGGAGAACATGCAGAACATCCTAGGCAGACTTAAGGTTCTGAGTATCAGAGGCCCCTCTAGGATCTGCAGCTAGGATATGGAAACCTCAGGTGAAACCTTCTGCCAAGAAGGTTGCTGCCTTCCTCTCAGGATAATTACGTAGTAGTGGCAGCAGGGTGGAAGGTTGTATATGCATGAGGGTGAGGCTGAAACTGGGCTAGGCAGCCACAGCAGACTCACTTCAGACCCCCACCCCTCCAGTTCCAGAGCCTGGTTCTACCTTCTTTTTACCGGAGGCTGCTGGGCTGGGGTGTCCAGGCTGAAAGGGTTGCTGGGCACTGGCTGGGTGGGAACACATGGGGGGCCCAGCAAAACTCACAGCAATGGTCAAACTTGCAAAGAGTATGGATGCACTTCCCCAGGCGAAACTCCCAGCACAAGAGCCTTTGGGGGTTCCTTTTTCCCTGCCCACTTGGAGGGCTGTAAGTGATCCCCCCTCCCTTTGATATGAGGGCTCACCTTGACCAGCCAGAGCTTGTCATTGATGATGTCCCATTGTG